AAACATATAAAAAACTACAATAAAATAGATTTATTGAAGCATATTTGGAATATCAATGTGTCACTCAGAGTCCAACCCTATAAAGCAGTGGTTCCCAACCTGAGGGTTGGGACCCCCGCTAGGGGTCGCGAGGCCTTTTGATTTTAAAGTCCAGGTGAAACAGAAATCAGAGAGCTGTTTGCTTCTGCATATTTACGTATTTCCTGTAGAAACAGGCAGTTAGGGAGGGACAGGCAGTAGCTGACGTCCCCCCAGTCCAGCAGCTGTAGTGGATCACCTCCTGGGCACTGCCGAGGTGCCCTTAAGCAAGGCAACCTAACCCCAAGAAACTGCTCATGGGCGCCGCTAATGTGGCGAGCCCATCACTCCGCCATCTCTCTCCCATAAAATATGATCCAGTTTCACCCAAATCTCTGATAAAGTTGTGTGTTACAGTAATCAGTGAGCTCCGCTAGCGAGCCTTCTACCGGTTTCTACATGTTTCTCTCACTAAGGAAGCAACACCACACTGAAATTTGGTGAATGTACTTTTGCCGGCCATAAGGTTGATAAGGTTCTTAATTTATTATCCTCTGGTTTATTCATTAACTGCAGCCACTTTTACTCTTCCTCACTGACAGACAGTGCTCCATTATCTCAAATTATTACTAAAAAACTAATTATGATTATTTCTATAAAATAGATTTTACAGGATAATTATATTTTTTTACATTTGACAGCTGATATAACACTTGTTTGCGGTCTGGCCTTAACTTATCTTTACCTAAATAATATCTATTTAAGGCAGTAGTAACTCCTGTAACCCCACACTGCAGCAGCATGAATGTCCATATTTATAGGCAGAAGGGAAGGAAACCAGGATTGTGTTATTATAATAGAAAGAAAATCTGTTAAGATCAGACCAATGTTTATTTATTTATTTTTTTATATTATCAACTTTATAGGCTAGTAGCAACATCCAAACCTCTCAAATAATAATAATAATAATAATAATAATAATAATAATGACAATAAGATGTATAATAATAATAATAATAATAATAATAATAATAATAATAATAATAATAATAATAATAGACTTAGACAGACTTTATTTGTCATTTGGATTTGCATGAAAATGAAATTACGTTGCAATGGCACAACATGAAATAGAGAAGAGGCAGTATGAACAGTCTTAAAATAGATACGCAGATATAAAACTTTTAGATAAAAAAAAACCCCGTAGATAATATATATTGCACAATTTTAATTGCCTATGTAAAAGAACTTTTAGCAGTAATGAAAATAATGATGATGATAATAATGAAAATAATGATAATAACAACAACAACAACAATAATAATAATAATTATAACAATAATAAGGTAATAGATAATGACTAAATAAAAATAATACTAAATAAGTGTATGAAAAGAAGTTAAAAAAAAGAAAATAGGTAAGTAAGTATATCTGTTTGTATGTTTGTATAATATTGGTTTTCCTTGTGTTCTTCACATCAAACAAATCAACCAGATTCCTAATCCTTTCTTCATTTTATAGATTTTATTAATTGTGTGAGACCCCACACTCCCTGATGCACCAATTCTAAAGAAAAATAACTCAACTAATAAATAATGAAACCCTATTATTGCCCAATCCCTGTGAGAAATCATCCCCAGTCTGCCACTGAAGGCCAACACTCCCCTCTGCTGTCCGGCAGCTGCACTCTGTCCGGCAGCTTTCATCCGTTTCCATCCATCCGCTTCACCCCGGCAGGTTGCCACATAACGGACAATAAACCCGACACCTAAATACGGCGCAGCAAGCGCGGAAAAAACGACCACACGGTCTCACTCACCGCAGCAACGCTAGTTTCCGCCGCTGTCACTAGGTGGCGTGAACGCATCACCACAGAACAGGTGATTCTGTTGCCATGGTGATGACGCTGCGGTGACTGGAGAACTGTCACGCTCCTGACAACCGTTCCCCCCCCGTCAACATTTAACACAAACAAGGTCAGTTAAAACACATTCCCGCTGTTTTTAAACGTATAACCGCTAATATTAAATTAACAACCAGAAATAAATCGCGATTGGAGGTGTTTGGGGCGGTTGCCAGGGGACAGACGTACGTTTTCCTCCTGGTTTTTCTTCTCCCATGATGCATCGCTTTATTTTGTCTCGTAGCTCTGGGAGATAGATAGGGAACCGACACCGCCGCCCTCCCCGCTCACCGACCGAGGCGAGCCCCCCCTGACAGCATCACCGACATGCCCCGCAAGGCTGAACGCACTTAGCCGGCGTGGCTCGTCCCGTTCAACCGTTCACAGCCTCTCACAAGACCCTCGACGTATTTTGAGCCACAAGGTAAGCTGTGTGTGTGTGTGTGTGCGGTTAATGTGCTGCTGTTAGCCCCCGTTAGCTCGGCTCGGCTAGCGTTAATTAAAGCGTCATACGTACTTCCTCTGTGTGGAGAGCGGTTTGTTTCATCCAAACACGTTTTTAAAATTTACGCTGTTTTAATGTCATTTTAACGCAGGAAAGCTTGTTTATGAGTATGTTGACGAGCGTTTTTCAATTCGGCATCCGTCCAAGCAGGTTATTTTGGCATTTTAACCCTTACAATGTGAAATAATGACTTTATAATATGTGCATATTTTTGCTCTTTTATGGGCTTTTATTGGGATTGAACCCAGTTTTGGTGTATGCCGAATTCACCAGAACACCTCCATAATGCACAAACACATTATTTATATTCGATAATTCGTACATTTTCTTTTCTATATGGCAGATTATTATTTTAGGGGCGGATTGTAAATGCAGGTTGGTGTGACGTTTTTCACATTCAGTAAAGACATTTTTTTTAAAAATCCGTTAATTTAATATAATTTTGCTTATTTTTTGAGTATTTTAACAAGTATTTTTCAATTCGGCACCAATCCAAGCAGGTCATTAGATATTTTAACCCCCCTATCCTAAATCAAACCTTTATAATATGTGCACAATGTAGCTAAACCCTGGGATTGTATTCATATTAAATCATATTTGGTGGATTCAATGAAAGCCGAATTAACCAGAACACATCCACAATGCCCAAACTCATTGTTTATATTCTACAATTCGCATATATCCTTTTGTCTATAGCAGATTATTATTTTATAGGCGGATTGTAAAGGGAGTTTGGTGTTCCCCCCTATTCAGTAGAGCGTATGAAAACTAGCTTGTTTGCGTTTCCTGAAAGTGGACAACAGCAGTACATAACATCAGCTGCAAGGACAGCCTTTGTGATGACCGGACGGACTGCAGTGATGGCATCCAAACTGCACATCGGGTCATAAAACGACGAGGAAGGTGCTTTGAACGCACCACCAGACCCGGATTTACGGGGGTTTATTTGTTTGCTACTGATAAATAAGGTCACGTCCTAATTAATATGCCTTGAAGCCTGGCAGTAACGTTAATGTGGAGTAACGGAGTAACGATCCTCCTGCAGGAACCAGCTGCGGGTCCATGTGAAATGTGGCTTTTGGGTGCTGTCCGCAATGCAGGTGCTGAAATTGAAAGTGCCGGCTAACACGTAGCTTGTAAGGCTGGTGTGTGTGTGTGTGTGTGTGTGTGTGTGTGTGTGTGTGTGTTTAATGGTTATACTGGTCGTCCTGTTTATTTATTGTTTATTAAATAAAATACAGCAGAATTAGAGGAGGAAAAACACAAGAGGAAGTATCTGTGTGTTCAGGAACAGCTTCAGGAACAGGAACAGGGCTCCCACCAGTCCTGGAAAACCTGGAAATGTTGAGATTTGATTAAAATATTGTGGAAATGATCTTATATTGTCAAACACACTGGAGGCGGAGAGCACACACTTCCTGTTACCTGCATGGTTACAAATAAAGGAGGAATAAAACTGTTAAACTATATGAGTATATGTTTGTGTGGGAGCGCTGTCCTGTATTGTCAATTAAAAAAAAACACCTGGAAAATGTCCTTGAAAGGTCCTGGAAAAAGAGTTGGAAGCTCTTGTTGTGGCTAAGGATGGAAGCTACTAGCTAATGTTTCATGCTGCTGCAGTTCATTGATTATTTATGCTCTCTGTTTGGGGAAATGCTGGTTTGTGTAATAGGGAAATAAAGACAGGAAAGATAGTTACTGACACATTTGGATATATATTCATATATATTTTTATATATATATATACTTCTGAAGAAAGATATAAACTTTATAGTCTCTCTTGAATTGACTGAAGTTCCCTCTTTGTGTCACCTCCACTGCTTTGACGCCGGCTGAGGTCACGTTGTTTCTGCGGACGGAAAACGCCATCAGAGCCGTTCTAGGAAGGAGCCGGGATGAGCGATATGCTCGCAGCGCGGGGTTTTACCGGAAGGACTCCACATTACTCATCAATAATGGATTATCTCCTCAGCCTGTGTGACACACCACTGGCTCTGTGTGTGATTACCACTCCTGTGTTTAGGTTATCGTACACTTTCCTTTCCTCTCCCTCCCTCCCTCCTCACCTCCCGTCCCCCCCCTGTAAGCCATGACGAGAGCAAAAAAAATCCCACAGACAAGTGCTGAAATTGGGGAGTGTGTCGCGGGATGTATTATTCATGTTTTAGCGAGCCGATGATGTAAGAGCGAGGAGCTCGGGGATGTTTTATTGAAGCACTCTTATGTATGCAGGGAGAGGCTTTCTCTGCACTCAGGAGGGATCAATGTGCTCTCAGCTCTCAGCCCCGGTACAGTCGGTCTGGTAGAGGGAGGAGATGTTGGGTATGAGTGATGGTTTCTCTCTCTCTCTCTCTCCCTCTCTCTATGTGGCTCTGGAGACGAAGGGTGTCCAGTGTTGGGAGGAAGGGAGGGAGGAAGGGAGGGAGGGAAGGAAGAGAGACCAGGCAGCCTTCATGCCACACCCAGTGTCAGTGTGATATCTATCAGTGTGTTCAGCTTTGATTTCTCTTTTAGTTTCCGTTGTTATTGCCCCTAGTGAAGCAGAAAGTGTCATTCCTGCCATCTGTTGTATTTATTGACATGCCAAGTGAAGAGAAGTTGTGCTATATATTGTAATTTGCCACTTTATGAGTTATATATGAAAGGAGGATGCAGGTTGATTGTTAGAGAGTTTATTATTAAATACATTTAGCCCCAGAATACGACAGAATTAGAGGAGGAAAACAAAAGAGGAAGTATCTGTGTGTAAAGGAGCAGCTTCAGGAACAGGAACAGGGCTCCAACCAGTCCTGGAAAACCTGGAAACTTACAGATTAGAGTAAAATATTCTGGAAATAATCTTGTATTTTTACTCTAATAATCTTAGGTTTGAGGTGTTGTATCGCAGCCTCTCTGTGGGTTGTTTCCATAGCCGGTCTGCTCCGACTGAAACTGCTGTTTTTATCATCTACGTCGGTGAATTAAGGATTTATTTCCACCAAACCAGAGTTGGTGATTGTTGGAAACACTAACAGAGACGCTTTTAATGAGTTTTATTCTGTTTCTGTCCACTTTAATGAAGTTACAATGATCTGAAGGTAAAATTAGTGTTTGTGTCTCTGGAGTCTGGTGGAGAGTGATAGTGATATTACGGCTGTTTGTGGTTAAACTAAAGGTCTATCTCTGTAGGGATCCTTTCCATAATGCTGTCAGACACTGACAATAACAACCTGAGTCTGTCAGTGGAACAAACAACAACTACTGTTAGTGGAACAAACAACTACTGTTAGTGGAACAAACAACAACAACTACTGTTAGTGGAACAAACAACTACTGTCAGTGGAACAAACTACTACTGTTAGTGGAACAAACAACTACTGTTAGTGGAACAAACAACAACAACTACTGTTAGTGGAACAAACAACAACAACTACTGTTAGTGGAACAAACAACAACTACTGTTAGTGGAACAAACAACAACAACTGTTAGTGGAACAAACAACTACTACTGTTAGTGGAACAAACAATAACTGTTAGTGGAACAAACAACAACTACTGTTAGTAGAACAAACAACTACTACTGTTAGTGGAACAAACAATAACTGTTAGTGGAACAAACATCAACTACTGTTAGTGGATCAAACAACAACAACTACTGTTAGGGGAACAAACAATAACTGTTAGTGGAACAAACAACAACTACTGTTAGTAGAACAAACAACTACTGTTAGTGGAACAAACAACAACTACTGTTAGTGGATCAAACAACAACTACTGTTAGTAGAACAAACAACTACTGTTAGTGGAACAAACAACAACTACTGTCAGTGGAACAAACAACAACTACTGTTAGTGGAACAAACAACAACTACTGTCAGTGGAACAAACAACAACTACTGTTAGTGGAACAAACAACTACTGTTAGTGGAACAAACAACAACTACTGTCAGTGGAACAAACAACAACTACTGTTAGTGGAACAAACAACAACTACTGTTAGTGGAACAAACAACAACTACTGTTAGTAGAACAAACAACTACTGTTAGTGGAACAAACAACAACTACTGTTAGTGGAACAAACAACAACTACTGTTAGTGGAACAAACAACAACTACTGTTAGTAGAACAAACAACTACTGTTAGTGGAACAAACAACAACTACTGTCAGTGGAACAAACAACAACTACTGTTAGTGGAACAAACAACAACTACTGTCAGTGGAACAAACAACAACTACTGTCAGTGGAACAAACAACAACTACTGTCAGTGGAACAAACAACAACAACTACTGTTAGTAGAACAAACAACTACTGTTAGTGGAACAAACAACAACTACTGTTAGTGGAACAAACAACAACTACTGTTAGTGGAACAAACAACAACTACTGTTAGTGGAACAAACAACAACAACTGTTAGTGGAACAAACAACAACTACTGTTAGTAGAACAAACAACTACTGTTAGTGGAACAAACAACAACTACTGTCAGTGGAACAAACAACAACTACTGTTAGTGGATCAAACAACAACTACTGTTAGTAGAACAAACAACTACTGTTAGTGGAACAAACAACAACTACTGTCAGTGGAACAAACAACAACTACTGTTAGTGGAACAAACAACAACTACTGTCAGTGGAACAAACAACAACTACTGTCAGTGGAACAAACAACAACTACTGTCAGTGGAACAAACAACAACAACTACTGTTAGTAGAACAAACAACTACTGTTAGTGGAACAAACAACAACTACTGTTAGTGGAACAAACAACAACTACTGTTAGTGGAACAAACAACAACTACTGTTAGTGGATGCACTTTGACGGGCGCAAGGATTACATGGCTGTCATTGTAGCCTGTTTGACTATAACTCTGTGTATTAAAGGTTTATTCTGACCAAACCAGCGTTATTGATGGAAACACTAATACAAACACTTTTGGGGAGTTTTATTTAGTTTCTTTCCGGTTTTAAGTGTTTTGTAAATGATCAGTTTTGTCAATGGGCTGTATCAGACATTTACTTTGCTCTGAGATATCTTGTATATATATATATATATATATATATATATAATATATATATATATATATATATAATCTTTAATTCCAGTGTAAGAACTAAACTTTATCTTCTTACCTGTCTTGTGCTGAGGAAGAGGAAGAGTATTTCCACTGTTGTGCTCTAATGAAATTACAATATACAGTGTAGATTAGATTAGTGTGTATTCGATTAGTGTTACCTTTCAGACGTGGAGTTTTGGAAGCGCTCACTCTCAGATTCTCAATCAATAGCGGTGATCGGTTGCTAATTACAGCAAGAAAACAGATTCAGCCTGTTTGGCACAGCTTTATTAATGATGATAGCACACACACACACACACATTCTGCATATTCATTAATGTGCATTCTCACCTCGTCTCCCACGTTTGCTGCTCTTTTTAATCAACAAACAGGGTTACACTTTTACCCTCAGCCTGGTTAACTGAAGGGCCCGACGGCCTCCGTTGTGAAAGGATTTGACGGTATTATCCACTAGTGATTAGTTCGATCTGTCATCTAAAGCAGATTGTCTTGGCCAGTTGGCAGACGAGGCGAAGTTGGCGCTCGCCCAGATGTTTATGGGCGAAGGAGTGAGAATTAACGGCGTGTTTGCCAGGTGGACTGACTGTTGTTTATCGTCTCTCCTTGTTTTCTGTGTCTGTAGGTTGGGAACGTAAATCAGCCATGGCGTCAGCGAACGTTACACTGGAGAACCAGCTGCACAGCGCGCAGAAGAACCTGCTCTTCCTCCAGCAGGACCACGCCAACACGTTGAAGGGGCTACACGCAGAGATCCGCCGGTTACAACAGCAGTGCACAGGTGAGCGCGGACCCCAGGTGGCCCCTCCCCTTCTTCTCTTCATACTGCGGCATAAAAAACAGAAAAATACAGGACTGGTTCTCAACCTTTTAGAGTCACAAACCCCCCCAGAATAATCCACACCAAGCACCTCCACAGTCAGCACTCTGCTTTAGGCCTAAAAGAACAATAACAGGTAGAAATACATTCAGCTAACTGGGCCTGTTAACGTGTATTAAAACACATAGATCGATAAAAACGTGTGATTATGAGGTAATGAAAACACAACTGTTCCTATATTCAGGTCATTATACACTAATGAAAACATTTATATGGATATTATATTACATTTCTGCCAGTAGATCCTCCTAAATGTTTCACACTGGACCTTTAAAACCCATGGAAGTGTTGTGTGTAGAGTATGTCATTAAGCATCCACAAAAATCTGAGTGAAAATAAACTATATGGTATAATAAATAAAAAAACCTAATTCAAAAAAGCTCATTTTGCTGTTGAGACCATTAATGAGACTGTAGGTGTGGCAGATTTGACCTTTTGATTAACATCTCTAACCCACATGAAACAATCCACTTCAAGTGTACAGTTTTTTTATTGTTTTTTTTATTGGTTCGCGTAATTAATTGTGTAATTATTGTAATAAATGTCTGAGCATAACCCACAATTCAAAGCTTTAGTCCCAAACGGTGGACGTTATGTCAGCGTTGGCCTTCGCGAGGTTCAGGATGATTTAAAACCGTAGATAGCGGCAGGGTCTGAAATTAACTGTGGGTGGATTTTTTAGTTTGGCGACTAAATCTCAGAAGGATATCCGCCACGTTGACGGGTAAATGTCTGTACCAAAATATAATAATAAACTATCCTGAGAGTGCAGCGTTGGGGTGTAATTTACTGTCCTGCTGTCTGTGTTGGAATTTAACAACCACAGATACTAAGAGCTTCTCGAGTGCTCCTAGTTTCAGAGCGCTGTTTACTCACCAGGACAACTCAACGCTCATTAAATAACATTACTTATGTATGTATTCATGTATGTATGTATGTCACAAACGCTGTGATGCAGGTCAGACTTATTAGAGAGTGAGGAGTCTCATTAGGAGGTTTAAGTTGGTTAAAATGCATCAAAGTAGAATTGAAATAGAAATGTATTCAGGCTTAAATTAATTAACTTTTGATCAGTATATTCAAATGATTTTGCTTCAGATGTATCTCTGGCCTCTTCTTAAAGTTTGCATTCAACATACTATCTTATCATCTCAATAAAAGATACAAAAAGGAAAAATATTATTTAAAAAAGTAAAATATGCTCGACCGTGAGTCAAAAAGTGAATTTCGGACATTAAATGATGCATTGAGACATTTTCAACCAATGAATTCTCATACATTCAGTAATAAAGTCAGTATTAACAGCAGCACTAACGTGTTTCATCACAGTGCAGTCACAGAAAAACACATTTAAGTGTCTCTATTTCAACGCTGTGTGACCAACCCGGGATATGAACCCCAGGTTGAGAACCGCTGTCTTAGAGAACAGCAGACGATGAACATCAATAATGAGCCCAGAGTCTTTAAATTCATGCACAGACTTAAATGGATATTTGGGACTCAAAGTAAACAAGATGCCACTATTAAACCTTTTAAAGAGAGAGTCTGATGACTTATGGGAACTGCACTCAGGCATTAGCAGCGCACTCTGCACTGTGTACCGGCAGTAACAAACAGCCTCGGCCCTGATGTCTCCTATCCTCGGCTAACCTGTCGCTACAGCTGGAACTCTCACTGATCCTGTTAAATGAGTCCTCCTCGCCATATGGAGACACGTTCTCTGTGAGAGTGTGTGTGTATGTGTGTGTGTGTGTGTGTGTGTGTGTGCTGTTTGATAGCTGTGACGTGTGAGTAACCCTCTCCTCCTTTTTTATCTTTCCCACAGACCTGACATACGAGCTCACCGTGAGAAGCTCTGATCCCTCAGGTAAGCCTCCACCGTGCTGAATTGTACACACAAATGTTTCCCGCTCACATTCGGTCCGGCGCCCGTCAGCCACCGTCAGCCACCGTCAGCCACCGTCAGCCACCGTCAGCCACCGTCAGTGTGCACAATACAGCCGTGGTTTCCTCTACAGTTTGTGTTTAATGAGATAAATCAGCTGTAAGGAAGCTGTAGTATTTTTCCACCTAGCTGTGATTCAAATTGTTTCCTGGTAACACAGTCCCACCCAGGAAACATTGCATTGTGGGACTCCCTGCTGTTCATTAGAGCTCCCACTGCTCACTGCCAACTGCCCCTCCCCCCTTACGTTACCATGGCCATGACACAGAGTCACAACACTGGTCTGATTCAGACCTTTATGCCTGCTCCCAGTACAGCAGAGTACAGTGAGGGAGGCCCTCACCGGGCTGCCGACGGTTGGCGTTATTTACAGACGACCCCGCTGACGACCCCGCTGACGACCCCACCGATCTGCGTTACTGAACAGGAGGCATTTTTTATGAACGTGGATCAGAGCAATATCGTTATCGGGCCTCCACTCCTCCACTTAGAGCCACTATCATGTTAGTGTCGGACATCTTTCAGAGATTGGAGTGCAGGAAATGAGATTATCTGTCACAGCGCTAATGCACAAACCCTGCAACCTGTTCAGTGCTGCAGGGCTCAGCTGCTCCAGCTGGGGGGGGATGCACCAGCCGCCACAGCTTCAGGAAAATGAAAGGAAAGCACATCATCTTTCTAACCCTCGCTGTGTTTGATAGGAAGAGTTTAGGAACTTCACTAGACTTTGAAAACACATTTATTTTTAAGTGCTCGGATTTACAGAGCTATAAATAAAATCTCTTTAAGTGCTTCGATTACACCATTTTTATACATCGGAGAGCGCTGAGCCAAGTTTTTTTTAATGTAGTAATAATAAAGTAATAAGTGAAATAATAACAGTAGTAATAATAATAATGTGAATAACTCAAAGTGCTTTACAGTGTGGCATTAAAAGCACGTTTTTATATTTGATTTATTGTCTCTAAAACAAACAGATTATAGGTAGAATATATACACACTTACATCTCAAAGATAGATCATAAAATAGACTTTGTTTAGGCTTTTTTGAGTGTTAGTGTGAGAGTTTATGTGAAAAGAATTGTCAGAAATAGTGTTTTTCAGCACATATATCTTCTTTCTTCTTCCCCCTTATCTTATAGATACACACTCTTACATTCACACTCAAATAACACACAGGATGCAACTTAGCACATATTTAATTAGACATTGCCTAATTTGCATGATTTAATGATTCAATATCAGAGTCAGAATACAAAAAAAAGACTTTGTATTTGGGTTTATATTAATAATGCCTACATTTGTGGCCCTTTATTTTGAAATAATTCTTCCTTGAAATGTATTAAAGAGTGGCAACCGTGTATCTAGCACACAGTAACACAGTTCGTGCAGTGGGTGGGGCAGGGTGGTGGCAGCAGCAGCAGCAGCAGCAGCAGCAGCAGTGGTGACGGTGATGAAGGTGATGAAGGTCAGAGGAGAGCAGTGTTCTACCGGCGCTGTAATGTGAAACTGGAGCTCTCTGCAGATGAGTCTCCATTGGATCAGACTGTCTCTGTCCACAGTCAGTGTCTGCGGCCTAATGCACTAATGATCGGTCCAGTCTGGGGAGCTTTATTCTCTCGGTGCTCTTCTGTTTGTTGTTTACTATTTGTATGCTTATGAAGCGGTAGCTGAACTGTTTTTAATGCATTTTCTTCCAGAAAGTAGAAAGGATAATAATAGTAACAGTAATAATAATAATAATAATAATAATAATAAAGTGTAGAGTGTATTTTATGTTCTCTAACTGTATGAAGTGCATCAGGTCATTAAACCACAGAGACACACGAGGTGGATTTTTAGATTTCCAATGTGATAAAATTCTTCTGCGTGCAAGCAGTGTTGTAAAAGCAATGATGAATCTTTTCCTTATTGTGGAATATCTTCTGTCTGTAGTACCAAATGTGGCCATTACTGCGTTGGGTTGTAGGTCAATATTAAGAGTCACTGTTTTAAAGACTGACCAATAGGATGTTAGGACTGAGCACAACCAAAACATATGGGTTAAGTCGGCAGGAGTGTTTCGACACCTGCGTCTGTGTCAGGGTATTTTAGCAAGTCTGGCTTTGGAGTAGTGGATGCGATGTAAGATCTTAAATTGTATTATACTTAATTT